ATAAAACATAACCCAAAATAAGTGTACTTCTAGATATGGGACCATCTAGTTCTAGTAAGCTTTACTACTTTCTTTGTTCATAAAGTGCAAAATTATTGCATGCTGAGCCAACTTTTTTTTTGAATGAAATGTTGAACCAACTTTTGAGAGGGGTATATATGAAATTTCATAGTAAAATTGATCTCCTCAACAAATGCTAAAAGCGCATTTATTTTGAAAAGGTGGAATATAAAAAAACTTCTAATATATATCTATGATACTGAATAAGTATCATTACATTGATCATGTAATAAAAGATATAGTAAATCTCTAGTTTTTAAGATATAATTGTTGATAGTATGAAAGTATATACATTTTTTTTGTGCGAGAATAGCCTGTAGTCGTGTATATAGTATGCATACGGTTTTCATAGACAACGAACTATGGACAATTGCTGAAATTCCAGAGCCACTCCAAGGGTGCTTTTCACATGCATGTATGTAGGCATGTAGCCATGTAGGATGATTTCCATGTAGCTATTAGTCTTGCCTTAATTCCAAGTTTCAGCTTTACGCATGTAGGTACTCCTACCTAAGAGTGACGGTTGAAAAAGGCTGCAATCTATTTATATCCACTTACTTATCACACATGATAGCGAGTAACGAAAACAGGTAGCTTTGTATAGTTAAAAGGTAAACGTAACTAGGAAAAAGAGCGAAGAAAAGGGGTTCAAGCAAGACCCTATCATGACAATAGGGACAGATTACCAAGGAAATACCACGTTACAGAATGATTACGATGAATAGATCGATCTCGTCTCATATCTGAAAGTGGGCCTAAATTAAAGCGAGTTCCCGCCAGCGAGTTAGGCTTTGCTCTTAAACAGAATTATCAGTAAAACGGTTAGTAAAGCCGAGATGGAGACATGTAATCTTAACTACCAGTGCTACTAAAAAAAGAACACACACATTTTGGAAACTCCAAGAGCCACTTTATATTTTTCATATAATTGATAGGAATAGAGAATTTAATGAAAAAAAATATTCTCCTACAACTTCCTTATTAGGCCCTATTGGTCTGATCGCTAAACCAAGAGCCCCTTAGTTTATTGATCAAATGAACAAGGCCTTAATTAGATCTCTAAATATAGTCATTCACTATTATGGATTTCTCAGCCAAAGATGAAGAGTGGGACCGACTCTTTAGAGTGCACACAATATATAGAAAAATTGTTGTAGAGTGAAAAGATATAGATGTCGATTTTTATTCAAATGATTCTCTAAATGATTATTTAAAGAGTGAGTTGAAGAAAGATTAGATTCTTGGAGACAAGCAACCAAGAATAGGAGATGACAATATTTCGATACCTAATTGAAGAAGATGTTGGAGGGCTTTTTTCCGACTAAAATCTCCATTCCTATCGATATGGAAGAATATAGAGAGGCTCTCGGAGTCGATTTTATAGTTTATTAAATAATAAATCAGTCAAGTTAGTTTAGGCTATTTATATACCATGGATGATACGTATCGATTGGAGAAAAGAAAGAAAATGGAGTCTCTCCAATACTCTAAATAAATACATTCTTCAGGAAAACTCTAGTTTTTTTAAAAAAAAACACTAGCTTTAAAATAGAAAATCCCAAGTCGTTTCAAATGGCATATTGACCAATCTCCAAAACTCATTTTCATTCTAAAGAGTTCATAGTGAGGAAGTGGGAAGCGACAACTTTACCTAGTGTAGTAATGTGCTACGTATATGTAGCTCCAAACTTTATATTGGTATACTATTATTTCTTGAAAACAAAGCGGTACGCATGCAGAGGGTGTCCACGCATGCATTTGGTGGGTGCACCGAACATGTCTTCAGCGGTGGTTAGCTGGGGTCGGCGAATGGCAAATTAAAGGCATGCAGTACGACGTAGTAGAGATGGCGCCATGGCTGTTCTTTTTATCAGTCGTACCATTTTAATAAAATAATAGTGTTTTTCTTTTATCACAAATCAATCATGCATCGGTCGTTTTCTTAACGAGCCGAACATGTCCGTAGTTCGAAAGGACCATTTGCACGAACGCCAAGTTATCCTTCTTTCCGGCACCAGACTTGCACATCGTCCGACGGAAATGCATGTCATGTAGGCCCCAATTTGGAAGGTACCAGCAGTCAGCAGAGCAGTGACTTCAGAACTTTATTTGAGATGCAGAGTAAGAAACAGAGGATCAAATCCAAACTTATTTCAAAGTGATGTGAATTGCTCTGCTTCCATCCGAGATTTATATAAAAAACTTCAGATTTCAACAAATACTGGTCAAGCAAGCTGCATATATGAGTGGAGCAAGTACGAGACGACCTCGATCGATCTGTTTGAAATTTGTTTGGTGCCCGTGCAGCAGCTTACACGGGAGCCGTGTTTGGTCGAAACTAGAGCGTGAAACCTTTGCTTTTGTGGTGCTGAATTTGACTTGAGAACAACCAGCCAAGCTAGTGCAAGTGCGAGGTTGCCTGAAGTCAGTGAGTCGTCCTTAACCGAAGTTGGGCAGACGCTGACCAGCAGCGCAAAGACCATATATACAGTACATCCCTTTGGAGTCTAGACCCAACTGCAGCTTATATATAAGGGTATGGAGTCCTTCAGGAGCTAGCGTGGTTACTGAGAACTGCATGCAAGAGGCAGAAAGCAGCACCAGCTTATATTAGAGTTCATTCAGGTTAGTCATCAGAGGTGTGCTTGGTAGCCATCGTTCTAGAACTGGAAGACAGGAATCAGGAAGAGAGAGAGAGAGAGAGAGAGAGAGAGATCAATGGCAGCGCAAGGTGCAGGACCATCAGCTTCTCCCCTGTCCAGCTTCCACATGGCGCTGCCGCTGCCGCTGCTTCTCCTCCTCACTATCTTGGCTTCCATCCTTGCAAGTAATCTCTCTCTCTCTCCCCGATCGACACTCTGCTTTATTTTCTCTCTCTTGTCTTCTGTGCATCAGAAATCAGATGAACTTTCAGTGGCTTGGTTAATCGTCCGTAGATACTAATCCAATCCCAGCTGAACTTTAATTTACCTGCTGTTCGTTCTCTGAATGAGTGTCGTTGCTCAGAGAAGTAAGGAAACTGTTGAAATTTTGGTCCGTGCAAGTGCAAGCAAAGGCTTCTCTTTAATTCCCTTGGTCAGGTCAGGTCCTTAGCCAGCGTGTATTCTTGTTCAGTTAGCACTTCAACATTCTGTTAGGGCCGCAATCCGGCCAGTCAATCAGGCCCCATAAGTGATGCTGGATAGTATACCAGCTTCTTTGGGTACATGACTACTGACTACATACTTGATACATGACTACATATTTGCACAGTTGCACTTGGACCAACCGATTATTGATGCATGCATATGCATGGCTATCTGACTGACCTGTTCATTGTCGTCCATGTATGTATGGCCATAGCCTGCAACTGGACCTGCACGGCCAGAGTAGTTATCCTTATCCCAGTACGGAGTAGCTTGACGACCACCAGTTACACTACACTTAGCCTGCATCTGCATCCATTCATGTTACCACTGCATCTCTCCTCTCGTCTTCACTCACTCACTGATAATCCATGTTGCTTGCAAGGCATGCATCCAAGCTAGTGCTAGTCTGCTAGAGCTAGAGCTCCTGCTAGCAGCCAGCAGCTAGGAGCTGCTGCTTTGTGATGACATGGACATCTTTGGTTCCCTCCTCATGTCGCTTTGTTCCTTTTCGAAGAGGAGGTGTGCGTGACAAGAGGACTAACTAACGGTCCTGTTGCAGACGTTGCAACAGAAGCTAGCTCTCTTCAGGTCTTCATCCATTGGATTGAATGCTGATGCTGATTACTGGTAGTAACAGATAACGGTTTAATTCTCAAAAAAAAAAACAGACTAAAGGTTGGTTTAACCGTCAAGAACTACCTCCTCCACTACACGGCATGTTGTCAACTTGTCATGTACTACTAGTTGACTGTTGACCTAGCTAGCTACTCTGAACCAGGAAGAATGTGAAGCATGGCCAATCAGAAACTATAGAAAATTCAACAGAGTTATATACTTATATTAGCACTTAGCAGCATGTACCATCAAAGAGCACTACAGAAAGAAGACAGAGTACGAGTTTGGAATCTGCCGGAAATTTTTCAGTTACATGTCCTTTTCTTCCTCCATCACAGTTCATTCACAAAAGAAAAGGGTCAGAAAAGATGTCTGAACCGCCTTAAGCCCGCCCTTCTCTGAACGTCGTGTACACTGACTCACAGTCCATAGCTGATTGACTCTGCAAGTGAGCAGAGCACCAGAGGTTTGATGTAGATGCATCTGGCATATTCAATTTTTTTTCCATAAAGAAAAGCATATCAAGACAATTGCAACCATATTCGCTTGCTCGTATATGATCGTGGATTATAAGCTGAAACAGTATTTTTCTCTCACACCAAACCAGCCAGCAGTAAATAATCCACGATCGTTTACGCCCTGCCGAACAGGGCCATTAAGATCAATTTCAACCTCTGCGTGCGTGACTGGGTAACTACTGACTATCAATCGGTAGACCAGACTGCCACCTGTGTGACTGCATAAACAAAAACAATTCACTGGCCACCTTCCCCAAGAATTCATCCATACACCAAGGTACTACAATCAAAATGTAATAATTGTGTTCTTGGCAACAAGAAAGATCAAACAACTTAATCAAATTGATACATCCTTCCTTCCACGCATAACTTACTCAAGTACAACATGGATTGATTAGTGTTTCAGTTACTGTCACTCATCTCTCCTTGATGGATTGGACGTACTGTGTTCCATTCCTAGCAGTTTACTCATCGATTCTTCCACGCATATGCATACGCTGAAGAACATAGCTTTTTCGATTAATGGGTATAAATCGGAGTAGCTACTGATCAATTCGACATACACCTGCAGAAAATCAGAGTCTTTGATACTAACATAATCGATTCCCACACATTTATTTAATAATTTATCATTTGCCTGTGCTCACTCGATCGCTTGTGTGGTGTGGATCAACCATCAATGGGGTCCAAATCCAATGCAGGGGCGGCGTCGGTTGGCGTGTGCTACGGCACGAGCGGCGACAACCTGCCGCCGGCGAGCGCGGCGGTGGGCATGCTCCGCGAGAACGGCTTCACGGTGGTGCGGCTCTACTGGCCCGACGGCGAGGCGCTGGCGGCGCTAGGCGGGAGCGGCATCAAGGTGGTGGTGGGCGCGCCCAACGAGGTCCTGACCACACTGGCGTCCGGCGCGCCCGCCGCGGCGGCGTGGGTCCGCGACAACATCCAGGCGCACCCAACGGTGGCGTTCCGCTACGTGGTGGTCGGGAACGAGGTCCCCGTGGGACAGACGCAGTTCCTGGTGCCCGCCATGGAGAACGTGCACGCCGCGCTGGCCGCCGCCGGGCTGGGCCACGTGAAGGTGACGACGGCCATCTCGCAGGGCACCATCGCCGTGCACCTGCCGCCGTCGGCGGGCGAGTTCACGGAGGAGGCCCGGTCGTTCATGGGCTACGTGGTGTCGTTCCTGGCGCGCACCCGCGCGCCGCTGCTGGCGAACCTGTACCCCTACTTCGTCTACACGCTGGGGCTGGGTCACCTGGGCATGGACTTCGCGCTGTTCACGGCGCCGGAGACGGTGGTGCAGGACGGGGAGTACGGGTACCAGAACCTGTTCGACGCGACGGTGGACGCGCTGTACGCGGCGGTGGGGAAGCTCGGCGTCGCCGGGGGAGACAGGGTGAGGGTGGTGGTGTCGGAGACCGGGTGGCCGACGGCGGGCGGCGCGGCGGCGTCGGTGGAGAACGCGAGGACGTACAACCAGAACCTGGTGACGCACGTGTGGAAGGGCACGCCTCGGCGGCCCAGGAGGGTGGAGGCCTACGTGTTCGCCATGTTCAACGAGGACCAGAAGGAGGCCGGCGTGGAGCAGAACTGGGGGCTCTTCTACCCAAACATGGAGAGGGTTTACCCCATCACCTTCGGAGCCTGACGACGGCAGCAGCTTCGTCCACGGTCCATCCATGGACGACCATTGCGTGGATTGAATTGAAGTCGTCCAAGAGGTTGTGTGTGTGCATTTGCGTGTATACAGCGTTTGAAGTACAGCAGAGGAATTGTTGCGACCGCTGAGCGTTTGTTTGCTCAGACGTGTACGCTGGGAGGGGTCGATACCAGAGCAGCTGGGTGTATGTATACGCCATGCGTTGCGTAGCAGTGTACACGAGCGTATGTACATCCCGTGACTCTAGTTGTGAGCTACTTACTTGTGATGATGAGATTTGCAGACGTGGCACATTTCTTAGAAAAAAGTTCTTTTTCATCGTGACCAAGTCATGTTTAATTATATATCCACATGTGGACTCAGTGTAGCTCACTTGATTAGCTTTCTTATGGCAGAGCATATCTATCAATATTCAAATTCTCGACTTAACGTGAGTGTTTGTATTTTTTAGATTTATTCTAAGATTTAATGGAGTACATGCTAACGGGTTCGGGAACGCCGCGTAGAAGCATTGCCGCCGCAGCGATGTTCTGGCTAGCCCGAGCGAACTGTGGGGGATCATTCCCCTCGTTCATGATGTCGTGTTGGACCTGGCGGGCGCGACCCCGAGCGCCGCCCGTCGGGTCATGTGCATGGGGCGCAACATGCCGCACCGAGCGCGCCGGCGCGGGCAGCGGCTGGTTCTGCCGCCGTTGTCGTAATTCCTCGACGTGCCCTTGCGCAAACACGAGGGCCCCTGCACGCAGGTCCGAAGGGGTGTGAGTCTGCATAGACTCCGCAACCATAGGCGGCTGTCCCGGAGCGTCCGCCATAGCGAATTCCCGGGACGGACAGTGGCTAGGTGCCACATCGTCGATGCTGGAGCCGTCGCTCTCACCCTCGTTATTCGGGAGTTCGTGGAAAGTGGTAGGAGTATAGCTCGCCATTCCCACGAATTCGGATGTGAAAGGGGATGGTGCCAGCGTCCTTCGGAGCCCCCGATCGCACGCGTCCGCGGGGGACACGAGGCCGTAGGGGAACCGATCGTACGGTGTTCGTGGTGCGGTCAATACGGTCCCTCCGGATAATCGGCGGGAGATAGTAAATAGAGAGTAAATAACAGTATGCATATTACTCACAGCGGGGTTTGAGCAGAGAGTTTGCTCGGAATGAAGCGCAGATGCCTCGTCGTTGAAGTCGTCGTGCATCCCGGAGTTGATGGAGGGCGCCCCTCTGACGAGTGCCGGAACGAGTGCCTCCTCGCGGAGGTGTAGTATGCCGAGCCGGTCGGCGACGAAGTCCAGGCTTTCAAAGAGGAAGGCCTGGGATGGCTCGAAGACGGATGGAACCCACATCCCAACAGGTGGGAGTGCGGGAAACTCGAGTGAGCCGAAGGGAGTCGTATCGCTTGAGCCCGCCATGGCGAAGGTGGCGGAAAAATGGGCTATCTGATGACCAAAAAGTGTTGAACATACAGCGTCTTCCCCACGGATGGCGCCAACTGTCGGTGCAGAAAGTGACCAACAAGTAAATATTTATAGTTTTGTCGTACGTTATGATCGAAGGTGGCCTAGCACTCAATGACACGGGGTTTATACTAGTTCAGGCAACGTGCCCTACGTCCAGTTTGAGTCGATCGGTGACTTTATTCATGAGCCTAGGTGCTCGAAGTTTGCAGTGGGGTTACAAACGAGAAGAAGAGAGTTGGGGGGTACAAGAGGTCCGGTCAGACTCTGGTCAGAGGGACCGAAAGCGACGGGAGCTCCGCTATGTGCTAAGTGTTCGAGCGTGTGCTCGTGGTTTGAACCTGGTGGTTCTGCTGTTGTATACTAGTGAACTTGATTGATCTAATCAATCTGCCTGTTGGAAGAGAGCGCATCCCCATTTATAGATGAAGGGGATGGCCTTACAAGTGAGAGGGAAGGAGTACGTTTGCTGCTAAGTCTTGCTTCCCACGCCTGAGGGTACAAGATGATGGTAGGCGCCCACAGCACTGTTGGATGTCAGATGCACGTGGGAGGTTGTGTTGTTTTCTTCGGGTATGGCAGACGTCGCCTGCCACACTATTGATACTTGGAGACATACGAGGGGTTTTACCATGTTCGCCTGGTACGGTAAATGTCGGTGCCTACAACACTGTTGACGTCCAGAGGCATGTGGGGGAGCCTTACCGTATGGGAGTTAATGGCGCCCACAATACTGTAGGGGAAAATGTCGGCGCCTACAATACTGCTTGGGTTCAGTCGTGCCAGGAGGGTCGCAGGGTACTGCCTGGCAGGTGCGTAGGGTACGGTCCCTGGTATTGCGGTTTGACTTGTGCGCCCTGCCTTGCTTTCTCCGTTCGTTCCTTGACCCTTACCGAGCGGGCGTCCCCAGTCGGTTAGTCCTAATCGGCTCTGAATGTGCCAGTTTGGAGAAGAGCAATGAGCAGGGGTTTGGTGCATCCCTAGTCGGAGACGCGGGTCAAAGTCGGAAGTAGTGCTTTGGCTAAGCCTTTCGGTCGGAGAGGCCGTCCGGAGGGGAGCTGGAGACCGAAGCGAGCGCTCCGGTCGGAGAGGTGGGCCGGAGTCAAAAACGGGCGTTGTTCCTCCTCGGCCAGGCCTTTCGGTCGGTGATTGGATCGCCCTTCTAGCCTGTTGTTTAGGTACTTGGGCCGACCCATGAGTTGCGTGTTGTTTGCAAAATTGCCTGCTGGGCCAAGCCTTTGTTGGGAAACCGGTCCGTGAGGGACCCCAGGTGTATGAACCCGACACAACCCTTTCTTGAAAGTAGAACAGGTGCTTACTTAGAATGGTTAGCTAATGAAGTAATCATGACTGCTAATAAAACTTGATCTTAAGGATGTACTCTTAGTAAAGCTTTTTGCAAACAAAAAGAAAACAGCAAACCCATATTGCATATCATATCCTTGAGAGTCGGGAAACTATTTCCACTAGTCGGGTAAGTCTTGCGAGTACATTATGTACTCAGGGTTTATTTTACCCCTGTTGTAGGTGCAGCTTGAGGAATAGCTCTTGTGTGGAGGATTCTTCTGGTGGGCACAGACGGATCCTTATATCGTTTCCGCTAGATGTTTATTTTTATTCCGTTGTTTCATTATCGCACTCTGAACTCTGGTATTGTAATAAATAATTTCCAAGAGCTCTTGTTGTATGAAATAGACTAAGTATTGTAAACTCGTACTCATTATTGGATTCTGGATGTAAAACGTGGATTGTTTCGAGTTCTCCCTTGAGGTGTGCTCGACGGGATTGTCCGATGTAGCTCACTTTCGAGGTGCTTAGTGTCTAGTGGAAGACGAGCGCCTCCGAAAGCGTGTTATTTCGGACGGTTCTGCCATAATTTCTTGGTATTCGTTGTGATTGATAGAATTCATCTATTGAATTGCTCATTCCTCAACACGACGGTATAACTCACTATCCATCTCGTGTTTTACATTCTTAGTATAGCTAAGCTCTTTAGTGTAATTAGTTTTAAGAGCTAGCTTGTGTCGAGTTTGGTGGTTAGTGAGGCTCTTTAGTTAGTCTTTGAGAGCTCACTAACTTAGTGTAGTGACGTAGCCTTTGTGTGCTTAGAAATTATAGAAATTAGAATTGTGGTAGGTGGCTTGCATTTTTAGTATGCTAGCGCAACATTTGCTTCGCCTTATATTTGTCTAATCGTTTTGCTTAGTGTTGTTGTAGAATTTTTTATAAGCTATTCACCCCCTCTAACTATTAAGACCTTTCAGTCGCCACCTGTACCCAGCGGAGTGCATGCCACCACCGCCACCACCTATACCTAGAGGAGCGCTGTGAAGATGCCAATAGGTATAAACCCACTGGGTATTGCTCCCACCACCTGTACCCTGAGGAGCGCACAGAAGATGACAATACGTATACATCCACTAGATATTGCTCACCTCTCGGGTGGGTGTTCACTGGGTATTGCTCACCTATACCTATAAACAATTGGAGGATGCAATCAAGCAATGGATATAAACCCCATCACCTATACCCAGAGGAGCGCAACAAACACTACAAGAAAAAGGGGTATTAACGATGGAATATGTGGTCGTTAAAAGTCTAAATGTGGTCGTTAGAAGTTATTAACGACCACAAAAGTGTGGTCATCTATGGTCGTTAGAAGCTCCGTCGTTAATACAATTAACGACCGCATGATACTTCTCGTCGTTAACTTTTCAACGACCGAACAACATGTGGTCGTTGATACTAGACTTGTAACGACCACATTTCTAACAACAAGAACCACATTTTCCATCGTTAATTTTTTTACACCATCAATCATGAGGCACTAACGACCATGTTTTAGTAACGACGACCACATTTTTTTGTAACTAATAATATTTTTGGCCAATTACATTGATATTTTTTTCCACATTGGCTACTTATTTATATCACCAGACACCACTTGACACCATATACAATGAAATATTTTCATAAATGAAAAAATACAACTAATAAACTTGCAACAGCAAGCAATTATTATTTATCTAATTTGTCAATACATAACGATGTGTTTTTGTGAGAAATAGAAGAAAAAAAAAACAGCTAACCATGAAACTATCCGTGCCTAACCTAAGGACCATTCCTATTACAAAGGATTAGCGCAATATGCTATGTTTGATGGTGAACACCTTACTACCCATACTACTATATAACTAAAATACTAATATTCAACTGGAGGCGCTCTGCAACATTGTCCTCCGATAGCTTGGTCTTGTCAACAAGCAGAAGCATGTAGTTACTTCAATGTTAACACTATACATGACCCAAACAAAATAATAACTAGTTAATACTTAAATGAACTGATGTCAAATTGCAATATATAAAGGAATGGAATTTGTTACCGCGTGCGCGTGTGTATATCCATATCCATTATTAAATGAATATAACAAGATGCGGCGGTTGTTAGGGCCAGGCCGCGAGGGAGGGGTGCAGCGTGAAAGATGGGTGCGGGAGATGGGGCGGGAGGTGGCAGGGTGAACCGTGGACGAGAGACAAACCAAGGCATAACGACCACAGTAAGACCTGGATCACGACCGTGCATATTTTTGGTCGTCGGACACTCTGGGCAACGGTGGAACGCACGGCAAATGGAACCCGACGACCACCTGTTGTCTGTGGTTGCTAAATTCTGGTTGTTAATACGAGGATTTGTTGTAGTGAAAGATGGCAATAGGTATAAACGCACCGGGTATTGCTCACCTATATCCGATTGGTAATGTTGTTTTTGCCTTTAGGGCCATATGCCCCCATGTGCACATAGCGGTGCTGCGTATGAGAGCATGTACCCCTATGGGCCAAATTTAGTGTCCATAAAACTTACTCCCTATGACTCTTTTTATCCGCCGTTCTCAGTTTCCAACAAGTTAAACATACTTAATTTTGACCAAATATATATAAGAAAATATTAATATTTATAGTACATAATTAGTATTATTAGATAGATCATAAAATGTATTTTTATAATAAATTCATTTGGAGATACAAATTGTCGGTGCGAAATGCGGCCGACAAGTAAATATTTATAGTTTTGTCTTACGTTGTGATCGGATGTGGCCTAGCACGCGATGACACATGATTTATATTGGTTCAGGCAATATGTCCTACATCCAGTTTTAGTCGGTCGATGACTTTATTCCTGAGCCTAGGTGCTCGAAGTTTGTTGTGAGGTTATAAATGAGTAAGAAATGAGAAGGGGGTATTAGAGGCCAGTCAGACTCTGATCTGAGTGGAAGAGAGTGATGGATGCTTAAACATGTACTAAGTATTGCAGCGTATGCTCTGTGTGTCTGAGCTTATCAGCTGTTGAGAGTGTGTAGACTGTGTAGTTGTTGAGCTCTAGAGGTGTTGAGCCCTTGAGCCTCCTTCTTTTAGGAGAGAGCGCATCCCCTTTTATAGATGAAGAGGATGACTATACAGGTCAAAGACAGAAAGGAAGAGAGTGTGCATGAGTGCTACCTACTCTTGTTGCCCACGCCGTCGGGTACGGCACGCCATCACCCACCTTACAGTTCATGACCTGTTGTACCTGGCAGGCTGCACAGTGTTCGCCCACCTTACTGTTCATGACCTGGCAGGCTACACAGTGTTCGCCTGGGACGGCAAATGACAGCGCCCACAATACTGTTTGTGCTTTGACGCGTTTGGCAGGCTGTATAGTGTCCGTCTGACATGGCTTGACGGCACCGTCCTGCAGGTGCGTAGGGCATGGCAGGGTACGGTCCTCGGTATTGCGGTTGACTTGAGCGCCTTACCTTATCTGCTCCGTCTGCTCCCCGGGCCCACACCGAGCAGGTGTCCTGGTTGGTCGTTCCCAGTCGGCCCCGACCGTGTCGGTCGGGAAAGAGAGGCGAGAAAAGGTCCGGCATATCCTCGGTCGGAGGAACGGGGTCGGAGTCGAACTACGGTCCCACCACGGACAGGCCTTTCGGTTAGGGCTCCGACCAGGTCTCTTGGTCGGAGGTGCCGGTCGGGGACCGGATCGTGGTCTCGGGCCGTCATTGTGTATTTGGGGCGGCCCAGACGCGCGCTGTCGCTGCACTGTCTGCTGGGCCAAGTATTGCAGGGAAGCGGGTCCATTGGGGACCCTGGGTTTACGAACCCAACACAAATGTTGCTAATATTTTCTACAAACGTAGTTAAACTTAAGAAAGTTTGATCGGGACAAATAATAAGGCGGCAGATAAAAAGGGACAAAGGAAGTGCCAACTAAAAACACATATGCAGTCACTGGTATAGATTTGTGCCCATATGAGTAGCGCATATATACCCATGGATGTTCATAATACCAAGAAGAAATATACAACTACCGTAACCAACAAATAATTAGCAAACAACTAATTGAGTATATTCGGACATATGAGATAAGGAAGAGTGCGAGCGAGGACATCACATAATGATTATGGTTAAGCTAAGCAGACTAACGAGTAAAAAGGTGGACAGTAGAGGAAACTCAGGAGAAAAAGAATAAAGTTTGCTCATTAAAAGTAGCTCCAATAGAGTGGCTTTGATGTATGCTTTGTCAGATCGCTCAGATGAGACGTCTTGTAGGTGGTAGTGGTACCTGCGGAAACTACAATAGCCTTAGGAAAAAGAAGACAACGACGGTAGGAAATTATGAGGCAAAAAAACAACATATTGGGAATGCGAGAGACGAGAGGGGACACCAAAAGTATCCTTGTGTTGGGTGGACATTAGCTCAATGTTTTTTTTTATTTAGACCTACTATTTTGAATGAAGCCACCGTTTCTATATGTCAGCATTGTCAATGCCCTAAAACTCTACTTGATACGAAACTCTTTTGGTGTAAAATTGTTACTTGGTTAAGAGAAAAGTACTGCTGTAAGCCTGTAAGATACGTATACTAGCTATATAAGCTATAACAACATGATTATTTTCACACTTTTCCTAAAAAGCAGGCGCCTAAAATCTATCTTTGGTTCAGGCGATAACCTGATCCTTTGATCTTGCTTCAAGATTAGTACAACTTTGTGTTAGATCTTCATCTCATGGTTCACGTCCGTTGCCTGAACCGATGTTATTTTTCAAGCACCTGAAAAAATAGCAAATCCCTTATTTTCATGCTACAACCAAAGCATGTTCCTGCCCCGCTATGACTCGTCGTCTCGTTTGCTTCCTTTTCCAGGATTCCTCGGCACACGGCAGCGTGGCATGGCATATTCCCCTGTTCGTTGACGGGCTAGATAACCGTAGCTTCAACGGCCTCCGTTTCCCTTTCACTTATATTTTTCATTTTATATATATGACATATGACTCGAATCTTGGAATGTCACCTGTTAATTAATAATTAATCATGTCCTAATCCACCGTGGGTTAGTGGTGCACGGTGCGACGAGCTACAGCATAGCATCTGAATTCTGAAGCTTCTACCAATGATCACCACCACACGTCCACACACCAACTGCCAGTCTCCCACTCTCACGGGCCACGGCCCGTGCTCCTATCGCCACGCCCAGGGCCAGCCGTCACGTCACGTCTCGCCCCCACTGTCCTCTCCCCGTCCGCACCTCCCTTCTTTCTCCGGGCGCGGCGCTCCACCAAACCAAGAACGCACCAAGCCCGCCCGCTCCCAGGACCACGCCGCCCGTGGCCCCGTGCCGTCGAGAAAATTCGCGATGCGCAAGTGGTGGCACGGCCTCGCGGCCGCCGGCGCCTTGCTCGCCGCCCTCGCCGCCGCGCTGGCTCTCACCGTGGCCGGGCTGCGGCCGGCGACGTTGCACACGCACGGGCAGCCGTCGTCGTCGGCCGCTGACTCCCGACGGCCGCCGCTGAGGTTCGGGCCAGGGGGAGTGTTCAAGGTGGCCCTGTTCGTGGACCTGCATTACGGCGAGGACGCGTGGACCGACTGGGGGCCCGCGCAGGACGCCGCGTCCGACCGCGTCATGGCCGCCGTCCTGGACGCCGAGAACCCAGGTCCCTGCCGATGCCAATGCTTTGTTTCCCTTTCATCCCGCGTTCTGCTGCCATTCTCCCACTCCACTCAAATTCCTCTGTCGTCTCTGCCGCGGCGCGGAATCCTCAATCAGACTTCGTGGTGTACCTCGGCGACCTGGTGACGGCGAACAACCTCCCGATCCCCAACGCGAGCCTGTACTGGGACCGCGCCATCTCGGCCTCCCGAAGCCGGGGCATCCCGTGGGCGACGGTGTTCGGCAACCACGACGACATGCCCTTCGAGTGGCCGCCCCAGTGGTTTTCCCCCGACGGCGTCCCGCCGCTGCGCTGCCCGGCGCTGCCGACGAGCACGCCGGATTCAGGTGAGCTCACCAGCTTTCACCTCGGCACGAGATGACAGACACGACACCCCCTCTGCCGAATTCCTTCCTTGCGCCGCTGATTCTGTCTGGGCGTGGTGACTGGCCATGAAGGGTGCAGCTTCCGAGGGACTCCCCGGACCGACCTCATGGCGGCGGAGACCGTCGCCAACAGGCAGCTGTCCTACTCCTCCAGCGGGCCCAGGGAGCTGAGGCCCGGCGTCTCCAACTACGTCCTGCAGGTGCTCTCGCGACGACGAACACGCGACGACGATCACGACCCGGCCCTGCTCATGTACTTCCTCGACTCAGGCGGTGGGTCGTACACCGAAGTGGTGTCCAGCGCTCAGGTCAAATGGTTCCAGAGCCAGTCCCAGTTCCTGAATCCAAATGGAAGGTTAGAAATGGCTGTCAGCAATTTTAATCTCGCAAACTTTTACTCCGGGAAAAAAACTGTTTTTTCCCATCATAATCATAATAATATCAATATCAGCCACCATGTTCGCTTGATGCTTATCAGCCATGATACAGTGTTGGATCAGGTGCTTGGATCAGAACATTTGTATTGGATTGGAAGAGGGAGTACTAGTATCACACACTGACACTGTTGTCTTTTGATTGATGGCAGGCAGTGTTTGTTGGGCACAACCACGGGCTGGACTGGTGCTGCCCCTACGAGGAGCTGTGGCTGTGCTTCGCACGGCACACGGGGTACGGGGGATACGGTGACTGGCCCAAAGGAGCTAGGATCATCCAGGTCACGGAAGACCCGTTCTCGGCCGTGTCATGGATACGGATGGAGAACGGGAGCAGGCACAGCGATGTTACGCTCAGCTCCTGAATCCATATCTGCCTGGGCTTCTTGTACATAGAAGATTTTTTTTCCTTTAAAAAAAAGAGCACCACAGGATCGAGGTGCTGTTTGATGTAAAAATTGCAAAGCATGGACCATGGTCTTTTTTTAATATAAAATGGTTGGGTTGTGGTATTTCTGGCCTGTTCGCGTGCTCTTAAACTTGGCTTAATCCGCTTCTTTTTTTATCTGAAACAGTGTTTTTCTCTCATAAATTCCTCCAGTATTCCTCCAAATCATCCAAATTCCTCTAGAATTCCTCCAAGCGAACAGGCCCTCTGTGCGTTTATTTGTAAAAATGGCCGGACGGTTACAGTTCAGCAGCCTTAGTGCAGGATCACTGGTTTTGGTGATTAAATGCTTTTCCGATCAAGAAGGAAAATACGGCAGTGCTGAGTTTATATCTTTTTCTTTTTATTACGAATCTATATTTCGGCTTTTAACTTTTAGTCTTTTATTGGTTGATGCAATTTTTTATCCTCCTGTCAAAACTCTAGCTATTTCATTGTATCTTTTATCCAAAATTTCCTTTATGCTTACCTATGAAAATAGATTATAGGTGCTAGGCTTCACATCTATTGTTGTTGTTGTTGTTGTGAGAACATCTTGGATTTCCCTTTATCTTTTCTAATGCGTCTTATAAGGATTAATATAGATAATCATCAAGGGCCACTAATCAATAATATTAAAATATGTGTTGTCATCCTTTACACTGTGCCTCCCTAGGTCTTCAATACGTTTCACTTGAAATCTAATACAAGTTTAAGTTATATCAAACTCATGTTGCTTGCATACCTTTTTGTGACATCAAAAACTTTTATTTTACCTTTCACTTTTGATCTTGTTAGTTGTTGTAATTCTTTTATCCACACAAGTTGAAACTCTAGTTCTTGTATATTTTTATTAGAAGTTTTCATTTTGTATTTTTTTAGAAAAACTATATTCTAAGTCATCATAGACTACACCTCTCAATTGCTACAGTGGCACACAGAGTCATTTCAGCTTAAGCCATGGCTTTGAAGATGTTTGAAAGGATCAAGATGCCCAAGAGGGGAGGTGAATTGGGCTAATTCTAAAATTCTTTACAATAATTAAACCCTACACTTAGCTCACTTCACCCCTTGTGCCTAGAATATGATTCTAGTGATCCACCGTACAAAAGTTTAGCACACTAAGTTCTAATCCTACTCTAGCATGACAATTCTGATAATATAAAGATAAGAATTGAATTGCTCAAAAGTAAATGCTCAAAGTAAAGAGAGGAGAAGGAACACAGCGATGTTTTGCCGAGGTATTGGAGAGTCGCCACTCCCCACTAGTCCTCGTTGGAGCACCCGCGCAAGGGTGTAGCTCCCCCTTGATCCGCGCAAGGATCAAGTGCTCTCTACAGGTTGATTCTTCGACACTCCGTCGCGGTGAATCACCCACAACCGCTCACAACTTGAGTTGGGTCATCCACAAGCTTCGCCGGATGATCACCAAACTCTCAATCACCACCAAGCCATGTAGGTGATGGCGATCACTAAGAGTAACAAGTATGAACTCTCACTTGACCACAGGAAGCCTAATGAGAAGGGTGGATGCACACTTGCTACTCTCCTTGCACTAATGAGGTCTTACTCTTGGATTCTCAAATCTCAATCACATCACTAGGCTCTTGCTCTCCAAAGCACAATTAAGGGTGTTTCTCAGCTGATCAAATGGGCAAGAGACCTTCCTTAGATGAATAGAGGAAGTATTTATACCCCCTCATTCAAAATAAACCGTTAGGAGGTTGCGTCAGCGTTCTGCGGGGTGACCGGACGCTCCAGTCAGTTATCCCCGCCATAGAGCCGTTAAGTTGTGACCGGACTCTGACCTGCGTCCGGTCAGCACTGACCGGATGCGTCCGGTCACAAAAACTGCTCTCTAGACCCTTACTGATGTTGACCGGACGCTGGTACCCAGAGTCCGATCACTTTGCTGTTCAGCGTCCGGTCAGTAACCGAAACCTGACCAGCATCTGGTCAGCACTGACCAGATGCGTCCGATCAGGATTCTCCCTCTCTGGAACCTTACTGGAGTTGACCAGACTCTGGCACCCAGCGTCCGATCACTTTTCACTCAGCATCCGATCGCAACCAGACGACTTCTCCTTGATCAAATGAACTGATCGGACTCTACTGCCAGCGTCCGGTCACAGCCGGACCAGCGTTCGGTCAGCTTTTGACCCTCTATTCACTTCCAACTCGAAATCATATGTGAATGAAGTTTGCTCCAATTGATCTAAGGGCTACTCCAAAGCTACCTAGTGCTAGATTTGACAAGTGTGCACCACACCTAACCCACTAGACTCGCCTAGGTCAAGCTACTAGTCCATACCCGCCTTAATAGTATGGCCAAAGGAAAAACAAAGTCCTAAACTACTCTAAGTGTCTCTTCAACACCAAACGACACTTAGAACTAGTCCATCCTTAACCTTGTCGTCCATCCTTTGAAAACCGAAACGATTTCCATCGTAGGGGCATGACAACCATGATTGCCCAATCAATTGCCATTACCATGACCTAACTTAATTGCATCTACAAAACACACGTTAGTCATAGTAATCACGTATTATCATTAATCACCGAAACCCAACTAGGGGCATAGATGCTTTCAATCTCCCCCTTTTTGGTGATTGATGACAATACAATCTTGAGTATGTAGAAGAGATGAGGTTTTCAACATGCTTGGTTCATATAAGCTTTTGACGATAAGAGCAAAGAAGTTAGACAAGCTTATATGACCCAAGACAACATGGTGTACTCAATAGATATGAAATAAGCATGAGTACAAGAAATAAAGCTCATTTGAATCGGAGTAAAACGCGGAAGCAAAGCAAATGAGCATAACCAAGTAACATGACATATAAATAGATCAAAGTAGAGAGCACACATGTCACATATCACATAAATATCACACATATCACTTAAATATCACAATCACACGTATGTAGTTCAATGCATGAAAGTAAACATGAATGCATAATAATGTATCAGACATAAAAAGGCAAAAGTAATAAATAAGCTCCCTTAGATATATCGCTCCCCTAGATCTAATCATACTTGATCCCTCTCCCCCTTTGGCGTCAAGCACCAAAACCTAAGGGTCAGTCGGTGGGACAGGAGCAGATGAGTCGAGCGCTGTGGTGCGGTGAGTGATCTGAAACTATATAGCATCATCCTCAGATCCGAAGCTCTGAGCTGTCTGACCCTCTGTCGCTGGAAGCGAAACTGAAGCGGTCTGGGTCTGCTGTGGAACTGGTGCGGCCTATGACTCTATAGGTACCACTGTAGCAGCTAGCTCTGATGATGCAACAGATGAAGGGAGAGTCTCTGTAGTCCTAGTGACTGGAGCAACGGTGGTAGGTATAGGGACATGTAGCTCTAGTGTGTAGGCTGCCCTGTAAGCTCACTGAATGTCGCACCAAGGCTCCTAGAAACTGGAGTGTCAGTCACAAGCACTGAGGAGCTCTGAGCCAGTGTAAAGCCCGTAATGATAGGTGTGAAGTGCGGGGCTGTCACTGGCGAAGCAAACCACTGGGACACGTACTCTATAGGTGAAGCAAACTATGTAGCAGGCTGTCCCTGACTCTAAAGCCCACTGGGCTGTAAAGCTAGAGTCACCGAAGTGGTGACAGGCTGGCCGAGCTGATGTGTAGACGGTGGCGGCGCAACCCCAATAGTAGTGACAACATGCTGCATAAATCCAAGTAACTGCTGCTGCATGAGGAGCTGCTGCTACTGCTGTATGGCCTGCTGCTATCTCTAGAACTCGTCCTGTCTGGCCTGAACCTGTGCTAGAGCAGCCGTGGTGTCTTGGGCCTAGTGAGTCTGATCCTACCTCATCCACTCAAGAATAGCAAGAAGAGCGGGGTTTGTCTGTGGTGGCTGGGGTGGAGCTGAGCTAGAGCCACCGGCCTCACTGTCATGTTGTCGAGGAGGCATCTAAGGGATATCCTGGTAGTCATCATCTGAACTGTCCCTGGGGTCGCTCTCGACCATACCCTCCTACTGAGCATCTAGCTCCTCCTCCTCTGTCACTACAACGCTCCTGATAATCTCATCCTGCTGGGCTGCAGACTTTGGCACCTCTGGGCGATGACGCGGCTGGCTAGGTGTCCTCGCACTGCTGTGATGGAGCATCTAGGCCATGTTGTATGGAGGAAACTCAGTAGTAGCACCAGTATACTCTGCCATAGTCTCTGGGGACTTCACTGTAACTACCTTGCGAATCAAGAATGTGATCTAGTGAGCATAAGGTAGCTGACGATGGCCTCTGAACCCCTCTGCAACAGTGTCCTCCATCTCTGATAGTATGACATCCCAAATATCAAATAATGTCTGTTGGATCAGTGAGTTTACTAGCCATAATTGAATGTGAGTCAATCTCTTGCGATAGCCCATCCTCGGGAGCAGGGTCCTCCTCATGATAGCATCAAGTAGCCTCGCTGTAGGAGTAAGATCTCTCGGTGTCCTACTCGACCCCTCGCCAAAAGGCTCTGTGAAGCAGGGTCAGACCAG